CCCCAAAACCCCAAAACCCCAAAACCCCAAAACCCCTTTTTCTTTGTATTTTATTGAGATTGGGATTATGCATATGAATTGTTCTTGAACTTTACGAGTTCCGTGAACACATGGTGCAGAATTGCCTTCGGGTTATCCATATCTTGCACTTGTGACGATAATCCAAGTACCTCTCCACATTGGCCAATATAGTAATCAATGTTTGTATATTTGTTCGTCAGTTGTGCTAACTTAATTTTCTGATTAGCGAAATGATCATCCAAGTCGAACAACTCCAGGTTAGGGGGTTCTAGTTCTTTCAGTGAAGGCGGAAAAACTGCAGGTTCAAGCGATGGCATTGGAGTCTCAAAAGTAGGAGGTATCAGCGTTAGAGGCTCGTGCGTTACATCCATTTGCTTGAACAACTCAATAGATTCAGGGACAAGATTTGTATCAAAAGCGAAGAGATCTTGATTGAACAGAAGAGTGAAGTCCTTTGGTAGCTCTTCACTCTCTTGTAATCATGACCTTACCTTGCCAGACAATGCTGCAGTGTCTGGAACTCTATTATATTCTACTGTATCATTATCCTCTTTCCTTCCAACATCGGTCAGTTGGATATCATTATTCCCGAGGAACCTCATTATACCATTCAGAATCTTTGAATTGTCTTCGTTCTTCAGGAACTCATCATCGAACATTTTTAATGATCCTCATACAACAACTTTTCCTCCTCTTTGCCTGTCTACGTAACCTGCGATAACAGGCCTTTCTGTTGGGTAACTTACCGATCCACTATCAAGCATTGGGAAGGCTGGATGGATTGTGTTAATAGTAGAACCATAAGAATAAACGTATTCTAGTCCGCTTTTTGTATCTGGGCCTGCTCCTTCATCTTCTAATGTGGTGTACTTTTTCGAGTATTTGCCTCCGCCACCGCCCATGTCGGCTCTGACCTGAAGTCCCTTGCACACCCTCACGAAGTCATTAGACGAACACCCGTTCGAGATGTAGGCCTCCTTCGGATGCAGGTACTTGTAAAACGAGGTCCTGACCACACAGTCGCTGTTCACAGAAATTTTAAATTGTTCTAGCAAATAGTTGATATTGGTGTTGGCTTTCTGCTCTCCGCCTTCTCCGAGGCAGACGAAGAGACTTCTACCAGACTGCACGAATTGCTTGAGGTGGTCGAGTTCTTTGGCATTGAACATCTGTCTGGGCATACCGAGGATAATGACTTTGATACCGTCAAGATTTGAAATATCAATTTCTTCTTTGTTGAGTGAGCACTTATATTCATGCTTCATCTTTTTGAAGAACTCAGTGTAACCTTTCTTTGGGTTGAGCCCTTCAGATTTCGAGGCATCGAAGCAGATTGTAATTTTCTCGTCTTCCATTATTTGAAATTAAATAATTTATCAAATTTGAATTAAATTCTATATAAAGGCTCAGACAAGGGGTTTTGGGGTTTTGGGGTTTTGGGGTTTTGGGGTTTTGGGG